CAATACAAAGGACAAGATGAACAAGTCAAATCCATTAACTGTCTCACAAAGGAGACCCAAACAATATTCACAAGATGAGGAGCCATGGGGTGATTAATAAGAACTTTTATGTGAGATGAATCCTGAGGCTCGGTGTCTGTGTGCGTTCATGAGATGTTTCCAACAAACAAAGCACGACGTTAGCATGAGGGTGAGGTTCTAACAGCAGCTGTCCTGCAGGCTGCTGAGGGACCAGTGGATCCGAGCCAAGTACGAGAGGAAGGAGTTCCTGAACGTGGACAGACAGGAGCCCTACTCAGCAGGTGAGAACTCAAAACATTTCTTCCTCTACCAAGAACAGAAGTGATTATTTGTGTGAGTTTTTATCTGTTTATTATTTCAGCGTTCTTGGTTGGAACAGCTGATCACTTAGGCTCACATTTAAAAACTTCTCAAACCTTAAACTGTGGAGTTTTTCTGTTTCTTTAACGGTTGAAAACATGAGATGGTTGATGGGTGAGCTTTAGAAGTGTTGCTGCTGCCTGTTCTGGTCGGGGTTCAATACTGCTCATGACTGCAAGCACTGAATGACTGTTGATGAAAATCATCAGACCAACGCGACCAGTTACCTGCGTCTGGTCAAGATGCTGGTTCATCTCCTTTATCTTCTTGATATGTCCTTTGTCTCCTTCTTGTGTCCTTTATGTGTCCTCCGTCTTCTTCACGAGTCCTTCACCTGTCCGACTTGTGTCCTTTATGTGCTCTTCATCTCCTTCATGTGTCCTTCATCTTCTTCTTGTGTCCTTTATGGGTCCTTTACCTTCTTTCTGCATCTTTCATGTGTCCTTTATCTCCTTCATATGTCCTTCATCTCCTTCTTGTGTCCTTCATGTGTCCTTCATGTGTCCTCCATCTCCTTCTTGTGTCTTTGTGTCCTTCATGTGTTCACTATCTCCTTCATGTGTCCTTCATCTCCTTCTAGTCTCCTTCATGTGTCTTTCATCTCTCTTATCTCCTTCTTGTGTC